TCATCTCATCTCTCTCACTATTTCAATCCATATATCAAATGCTTGGAACGTATAATTGAAATCTATAACGGTTGGTATTTTTTATTTCCTATAGAAGGCTACACGTATCGAATTCTGTTCCAAATTCGCTTGATTTGTTTGGAATGCTATTGGACAAGAACATCTTGGAAGATCTTTTGATTGGGGTTCTGATTTTACTTCTACCGAACATGGTAAATAGAATTCTGATTGATTTCCATCACATACGCATCAATCGTAAAAAGATCTCGAACGAGAAATTCTTTTTCCCATCACTACCCTCACATAAATCGCACAAGTTGCAAAAAGATACACACATTACGAAACAAAGAAGCCATCATGCAGATCAGAGGACTCAGTCAAATCCTATCGAGCATCACCACCCCACATCCAACCCAGACTCTTGCGCCTAAGGACCAAATGTTTGAGATTGACAACCGAACTTCAAGACATATGGAGCACACAAAGAAGGAGAAGCGTGGCTGGAAGCCAAGCAAGCATGATTTGCACACAAGATCAAGACAGAGAGGACACATCCAAACGAGAGGTGCTAGCCACAGATTGGGTGATGCAAGAGCAGCAAAGGCTGAGATGTAAGCATCTTGAGGAGCTCTCTCCTTCAGTCGAGAGAGTGGACTTTAGAAAATACCCACTACCCCTAATCTAATGTATATTTACGCATAACCCCTTTTCTTTATCTTAACGTAGTTCATTGCATTCTGAGAGCTGGATCGTCTCCTTTGTTCGCTTGTCTCCATGTCAGCATTACCGTATGCTTGATCTGAAGTCTGAAGATGAGGTTCACCAGCTCCTTATTCATCATTCCCTCAAGACTAAAAATCTGTATGCTAAATACAATCTACTTATGTTTACAGATGTCTATCATTGTTTTTAAGTTGACTCTGGCCACTTGAGCATCATTGCGTTCTCCATCGTGTACATTCTTGCAGTGGACCAATAACAAGACATATCATTATTCCTCACTAAATTTCCAGCATCACAATTCAACGGACTATCAGCATCAGGATCACTCAAAAGCGCTAATACAGCTCGGCAAGCAGCTTGTAGACCCCATGCTGGACTCCATTCCTTCTTCAAAATATCAAGACATACATCTCCCGTCTTGAAATGTATGTTCGGATGGAAGATAGTTGTTTCAAATGTAATCTTGGGCGGTTCCAGAGGATACGAAGAGTTGCATTTGATAGAGATTTGAAAAACGCCATTTTCAAAAGGAGTATCTGGTGGACCTCGTAGAAGAGCTGTCCAGTGTAGAATTGACTTTGAAAGATTCGTTGGCCTTAAGAAAATATCATCGTAATCATGATGAGAATCTGACTTTTTGCTACGTTCTAGATTCTGAAGTTCTTTTCGTAATCTTTTCGCTGCGCCTAAATTATGTGCCATTTCCTCTCTATTATATACTCGTATATCTTCTTGGCTTATAGAATGGTGATGGAATAAGAATCGCCTTTACCCTTTGTAATACTACATATGAAGTTGTTCGTTGTTCTACCTTTCTCATTCTCCAAAAACGCGTTCAGCGTTCAGCATCGTTATCGCGTTACGTTACGATACTTACAAAACTTACGTACTATATTACATTCCTGTTTTTTTTAGTACAATTACAACGTGCTATCTTTTCATTAGTAGTTCATCCTGAAAGCCAATATATTCAAACCTATATCTAGACGATATTCATGATGAAATCTACAATATTGACTGCTCTTACTATTTTCTCAATTGTTTTGGATTCATATGCGTTCATAGTCTATAACACTAAAGCTGGACAAAGAGGCCATGTCTTTCAAGCAAACGAAGAAAATGTTGATGCTCCTGAAGAGAAAAAGGATGAAGTTGCATGGGGAGTGAGCTATATTGGTGGGGACCCTTGTGGTAGCAAGTACAATAACGATCCATTTGATACAAAGCCTTCCAAACCAGGGTTTCCTGATGATATGAAAGCTAGGATTGAAGCCATGGCAGAGGCAAAACGGAAAGAAATGGAAGAGAAAGCAAGTAAATAGGAGATCAAAAAAGTCTGAAAGATTTACACCGAATCAAAGTTTCTAATTTCAGGATATCTGGCAGAGATATTTGCTTATATTGCGAACTGAGAAGTGAAGAATTCTAGGAATCAATGCTCAAGAAAAAATCAGCTTAGGACATAGAGAAGTATTAAGCTCCCCTAATTATATATCTAGTCTAGCTAGGATCATAATAATAATAACTTCATTTTACATTTTTTTTAAAAGGGATGGGAAACTTGTTCTTTTTAACCATGGATCTTGGTAACGATTCCAGTTCCAACAGTACGTCCTCCTTCACGCATGTTGAATCTAAGTCCAGACTCGATAGGAATTGGGGTAATCAACTCTACATCAACAGTTGCATTATCTCCAGGCATAATCATCTCAGTTCCTTCTTGCAACTTCACATCTCCAGTAATGTCAGCTGTTCTGATGAAGAATTGTGGTCTGTAATTCGACATGAAAGGTGTGTGTCTTCCTCCCTCGTCCTTATTCAAAGCGTAAATTTCTGCTTCGAACTTGGATCCAGTTGAAACAGTTCCTGGCTTTGCCAAAACTTGTCCTCTTCTAATCTCATCACGGTTAACTCCACGAAGAAGCGCTCCAATATTATCTCCTGCCATACCGTAGTCCAACAACTTCTTGAACATCTCTACTCCAGTACAAGTGGTCTTCACATCCTTGGAGAATCCAACAACTTCAAGTGCATCTCCAACATTAATCTTACCTTGTTCAATACGTCCAGTAACAACAGTTCCACGTCCAGAAATAGAGAATACATCTTCAATAGGCATAAGGAAATCCTTGTCCAAGTCACGAGTTGGTTCTGGAATGTGTTCATCACAAGCAGCCATCAACTCCATAATCTTTTCTTCTCCAAGCTCAGGATCTCTTCCTTCAGCCGCAGCCAAAGCACTTCCACGAATGATTGGTGTCTCGGAAGAATCAAAATCATAAAAGTCAAGCAATTCTTGGATCTCCATCTCTACCAATTCAAGAAGCTCTTCATCATCTACCATATCACACTTGTTCAGAAAAACAACAAGCTTTGGGATACCAACCTGCTTCGCGAGAAGGATATGCTCACGAGTTTGAGGCATAGGTCCATCAGTAGCAGCAACCACAAGAATTCCTCCATCCATCTGTGCAGCTCCGGTAATCATGTTCTTTACGTAATCTGCGTGACCTGGGCAATCAATGTGTCCATAATGTCTGTTCTCAGTTTCATACTCGATGTGAGAAGTGTTGATGGTAATCTTTCTTGCCTTCTCCTCTGGTGCCTTATCAATATCTTCATAAGACATGGACTCTGCAAAACCTCTGTCTGAAAGTACTTTGGAGATAGCCTGTGTAAGAGTAGTCTTTCCGTGATCTACATGTCCAATGGTTCCGATGTTGACGTGAGGTTTGGAACGATCAAAAGAAGAAAAATGACGAAGCATGGAGTTGAGATTTTTTGGGTTGGATTTAAGTGCTCTTGAAAGAGCGGAAGTCATTTTTTGGGACTGTAATATGAAGATTGATTGATTGAAAGTCAAAGAACAAATCAGTTAGATGCATAGATTCAAAGATTTGAATATTTTCATTGAAAGTTTCTCACACCAAATCTTTTTCTTTTATAAAAAGTGTATTTTATCATACGTCATATGTATTGTTTCTCTGTCTTAGATCTGAAATCTCGACTTACCATCATGATTAAATCAAAGATTGACAAGTGACTTTGCACTGATGATCAGATAAAGATAAGCTACGAAGGTAGTAATCCTTAGTTACTTTGTTGGATACACAAGCAAGGTTCTTCGTCAGTTTGATAGAAGACAAAAGCAGAGAGCAAAAAGTGAGCGTTTTTCGTGGTTCTTAATTGTGTCCCCAATCAACACGGATAATAAATATCCGTATTCAATTGGTAGATTTTTTACCAGTTATCGCTTACTTTGTGCGCTTGATCTCCCACCCACAAAAACAGTCCACACACCTCTCGTCTCACTTTTTCAACTCAAGTCAAGTTTCTCGATTCAAGATGGCTCCAAAGAAGGTTTCCAAGCCAAGCAAGGCACCAAAGAAGGCAGATCCTCTCTTCCCTTCCCGTCCACGTAACTTCGGAATCGGAGGAAACATCCGTCCAACCAAGGATGTATCCCGTTTCGTTCGTTGGCCAAAGTACATCAGAATCCAGCGTCAGCGTGCTGTACTTTACCAGCGTCTTAAGGTACCACCTTCCATCAACCAGTTCACCAAGACTCTTTCCAAGAATGAGGCTATGACTGTTTTCTCCCTTTTGAACAAGTACCGCCCAGAGACCGCTGCAGCTAAGAAGCAGCGTGTTAAGGATGCTGCTGCAGCTGCTGCTTCCGGAGGAAAGGCTCCAGAGCGTGCTGCTAACCAGGTTAAGTTCGGACTTAAGCACGTTACCACCCTTGTTGAGGAGAAGAAGGCACAGCTTGTTCTTATCGCATGTGATGTTGACCCAATTGAGCTTGTTATGTGGCTCCCAGCTCTTTGCCGTAAGATGAAGGTTCCATTCATGATTGTAAAGGACAAGGCACGTCTTGGAGCTCTTGTACACCAAAAGACTTGTGCTGTTTGCGCAATCACTGCTGTAGACAAGGCTGATGAGTCCCAGCTTGATCTTCTTAAGAACCTTGCTATGGAGAAGTACAACAACAACGCTGAGCTTGTACGCAAGTGGGGAGGCGGAGTTATGGGACTTAAGACCCAGGCTAAGCTTGACAAGCGTGCTAAGGCAGCTGCTATCGAGGAGGCTAAGAAGAAGGCATCTCTTGGACTTTAAGCTATCAAATTAAATAAAAGAAAAGATCTCCAATAACGAGTCTACGTGAGGCGCAGTTTACTGTTAGCTTATGAAGCGTTTTTTCTTGTCCATTTTGGACTTGTATTGTAATATTAGTTATAGATTTTAGTTTCATTTCTTTTCCCTTCGTAATGATGAAAGTGGTCATGATCTTGTCTGGTGATGAGGGCAGGCTTCAAACCTGTGGCGGCTTGACGGCCGAGTTGTTCGATTCAACCTTGACCACGTTAATTCCCATTTTCCTATGCGTTTTCGTGTGTACAAGTCAGGTTGAAATCGGTTTGTTTGTTTTTTCTCATCTAAACTAAAAGTAAATGATAGTACATAGTAGGTTCACCCTATTTTGTAAGAAGTAAAGAGGTACAGCACTGTGTTATAGAATGCCTGTACAATAGAAGAATGGTCCTAGGTAGAGTGTCTACTTTACTGCAGACAGTCTGACCTTCTATCCGTCAATCATGTCAAGTAGGTAGTTACTAATTGTGAGAATGAACGAATCTCCAGCACGAAAAAATAGGTTCGACGTATTTAGCTCATTTTGTCGCTGAAAAGAGACCCCCTCTGTGCCACTCATTTTCAGCGATTTTTGTGCAAACATAGAAAAAAAACAACGACACCACCTAGTGAATTACATGCCTATTGGAATTGGCTCTAATGAAAAAAATAAAAGGGTTGTTAGAGAACAAATACCACACATCATTTCAGCACACATTCAACGATTAGGTTCCAGCATTTGTTCCCTAGCAAACCCTTTTCTTCTTCTACCAACAGACCGTGGAATATACCCCTTTTCTCAGTATTCGTCATGGGCAAATCCAAGCCTAATGCATCTCTCATCAAACTCAAAACATTATTACAAAGTGCAATAGAGAAACATAATGAACAGAGTATCAAAGAGCCGTTCTGGTTTGTATATCACAAGCCAAGTGCTCATGATATGGTAATAGAAGCTACACGTGACCTTCCAACTATTGCAAATGTGCTAGGAATGAATAATGAAGAACTCAGCGAACTTGTGGACAAAGCAGGTAGAAATGTTTTCACTACAATCGAAAATAGTTTAAACATTGCCACGAATAGTTACTATAGGTCAAAGTTCTTCATGTTGGGTAATAAAGAAAATATACTTGACATCCATACTCCAGATGAACAATTTGACGAAGATTTTGAGATTCCAAATTGGGTACGACGGATTCCTAAGCTTGTAGGTGGTGCAACGGCTGATTCTTCAAGTGTTGAAAATGATTCTAATAGTACAAGTAAAACTGTCAGAGGAAAGGATAAGCGGATAAAATATTCATGTGGGACATGTGGTGAATTCGTGTTACCATCGAGGTATGAACCAATTCTATCATCGGTGAAGGAAGAGTTAGATAATACAGTAGAAAGATTGAAGCATGAAGTAGCCTCCCTGCAAAGGAAAGTATCGGAATTAGATAGAAATATGGAAGACCAGCATAAAGAATTCCAAAATTCTTCGAAAGAATTGGAGCAGCAAATCAAACAGCAAACAGATGACAAGATCAACCATAAGAGAGATGAGGAGGCACAGAGACTTATACAAATTGGGAAGAATATAATATCTACTCTCAATAACGATAAGTGGATGGGTTCACCTTCTTCTTATAGATTCTATAGTTTGGCATGGGCTCAATGTCCACAAATATCCTCTGAATCTTTATCACAATTAATCCCACTTGTTGTCGCCGGCTTCTTGAGCGATTGTTTTCTAAACGATGAGATAGATTTCGAAAAGATACCAAATGCGACTCCTAGTCCCAACTCCATAAAGAAAATCATTAGAGTAGGAAGGAATATCGTATTGCACGATATTGCTAAAATGCTTGACAATGATCCGGAATTAAAAGTAGCAATGGCGCAGGATAAAGGGGAACGTGACCACCTTGGTAGATTGATACGAGATATAACAGTGTTCAAAGAGGGGTATGTAAAAGCTTTTCGTATAGATTGTGATGGTAGTGGTGGCACAGATGAAGCAGTGGCTGCATCTATTGATGCGACTTTGTCACAGCTTGATGAGTATAGAGATGGCGGTAATAGAACATTGCTATCTGGAATGTGCACTGATACGGGAGGTGGGGGAGTTATGGAATCGGTCGTAGAAGAACTGGTGAAGTTGAATCGAATGACAGATATTTATTTTGTAGGGAATTGCAGTTTACATGCACTATCCAAATGTCTCCAAAATGCCTACGAATCTGCATTTGGTATTGGAGGTCTTACAAACGTAACTACTCTTCAGTTCCTTCATTGTTGCTATGCTTTAGAGGAGGCTCTTGGGACCTATGAATTTCGACGTAGATGGAAATTAGCTAATCCAGATGCAAAGATTGAACTCATGGTAAAATTACAAAAACCGGTACTGACAAGATGGGGCTATGTAAATAAAACTGCGGAAATGGTTTTGGAGAACTTTGATAAATGGATTAGAATGTTTCGCTTCTGTTACGAGAATTCAAATAAGAAGGATGCTACAATATCATCAAATGGATACTCCATGGACCATTCCAAAATAAGAATAGAGCTTGAGTTTTTCGTAGCATTTAATAAAGTGTTCTGGAGAAAACAATTTACGTGGATGCACCGAACAGATGAGAAAAGCAAAAGATTTGGGCACTCTTCTCATGAGATGCCTTTACGAGTTTTCCTTATGGAACATCAACTACGAGAACTTCATGAAAACAATTGCTGGAAGGGTAATGATGCGTTCAAAACCTATATAGAATTACTCAACAAGCTTCCAAGTGATGTAAAGGATGAAAAGGGGAATATAACTCACGCTGGTAAAGAAACCACTATTGAACAAGTGAAAATATTCTGGCAAGAGTTTTTGACTACATTCAAAAAACATTTTCAGCTATGGAAACAACGAAATCTTATTTTTACGCTTGCTAGTTCTAATATGAAATCATCCGTCATTTTTGCTAAATGGTGGATAGGAGAAGAAGAACATGATTCTATTGCTAGAATTGCTGAAGAATACTCAGAAGAATTGGATCCAGTACATGAATGCCAAATCAATTATACACAGTGGTATACGTACCTTCGAAATCTTAAAGCAAAACCGGAGTGTGAACTATTATCAAATCATCGAGAAGCAATCCGCTATATTGCAACCACCAAGGAAGATTTGTATGCTAGTACAAATGAAGGAGTGCAGCACTTAGTTCGTGATTTACAGAAGTATATTCTCAACTTACCTTCACATACGCAATATACTGAAAGTGGCGTGCAAGATATATCTTTAGCCTCGAAGAATCGAAAAAGTCAATATGATGCTTCAAGCATTTCAATAATTCGTGCATTCGACAATCAAGCAGTGAACAAAGTTTTATTGGAAAGCTATTCATCAAAAAAGAAACAGGGTAATCAATATCGAACAAGTGGGGCTGGTGATAACGACCGACTGAATACTCATATTCGATCTGTCCATACATTTCAGAACCGCGAAAAAGGTATAAGTCAATTCCGACGACGCGCTTTACCTACAAAAGAAAGATCATTATTGCTCATTCAAAGGGGTATTCAATTTATACCAAATGAAGATGTTATTAGAAGGATTGCGGCATATTTGAAACAATGCGATTTGAATTCCCAATCACGAAAGCGATTGAGACAACATGAAAGTGATCAATTTGACGAAAATAAAGCAAAGCGTGATAAGAAACTTGCTGCTGGTCACAAAAGGATAAAAGATGCAAAAAACCTAAAACAGAGGCCAGTTACTTTAAGTGATACATTTAAAAAGACAGTGGAATTTACCTGGTTCACCCGAAACGCTCTCCGCTTGTGTTGCATGAAAGAAATAGAAGCACGTAATCCCAACCATGAATATGTTATCAATGGATACAAAATTGATGGAAAGAAGATGATCGCAAAACAACTGAAGGAATTGCTTGTAGCTCTAGTGAAAAAAGAGGATAAAGATGCAACAGCTGTTGAGTTGAAGCATCCGGATAACATATTGCTTCATGAGAAAAGATATTTAGAGCGCTTATATAAAGGTGAATTGAAACCAGCACAAGTTGAACTTTACCTTGCAAATCAAGATGACAATGAAGAAACAATAGAATGTTCACTTGACTTTGACTTTTAATCTAAACAACAACCTCTCCTCTTCCAACTAGTTCTGATCGTCAAAAGAAATAAAAATCTCAGCAAAGGGGGAGTTGTCATGATGGGCATGGTTTTTCAGAGAGAGCCGCAGCCAAACTCCAATCTCACTACCTAGTAGCCAATCTTATGTCACCTCTATAATAGAAGGCATGAAAATTACCCATTCAATATAGGCACGCAGCCTGACAACTGAAACAAAGGTTGAATTAAAGAAAAGAGACGACGATCGTCGATGGTGTGTGGATGTGTGAAGCGTTGAGAAAAATGAGAGGTGATGGAGCACCTCTTTTTGTGGGACTCACTTAAGCCCTTCTCCTAAAAATTTACGGTTACTGGTAACCGTGCTGGAGGTAGACATCATCTTCACCCATTCAGAGTCAACAGTTAGTAGTGCGACGCGAACAATAGAACGGAGCGAATCATTTCACCCCGTTGGGGTCATCTGTTAGTAGTGTGACACGAACGAACGCACGCACGCACGGAAAAATAAACGGGGTAAGGAATCGGTTCCCTGACAAACCGATAATGAACCCCCACTAAACGTCTTTATTCTGCTGGTTGATGTGAAAGCAATATTCAGAGCTCATGTCGAATGAAACATAAGCACCTTCACTACATATAAATATACACGAAATTGTATCCAATGGCTAAGAAATTCTATTATGCAGTAAGGAAAGGAAGGGTACCAGGAATTTATACCTCCTGGCCAGAGTGTCAAAAGCAAACAAATGGATTTAGTAAGCCCGAATTTAAAAAGTTCAAAACAGAAGCAGAAGCAAGACAGTTTGCCTTCCCTTCATCGTCTCAAACAAAATCTGCTGGTACTTCTAGTATCGACGCTAGAAAAAAGAGGGCATTGCCTTCTTCATCTATGCCATCATCTGCACACCGCAAAAGGTTACACACAACTGACGATAATACCGAGGATGATGGATGTGTGATTGAAATGCACTTCGATGGTGGTGCCAGAAATAATCCAGGATGTGCCGGCTCAGGTGCAGTGATTCAAGTACAAAATACAGAGATAAGATTGCGTTTTTTTGTTGGGATGAAAGCAACTAATAATGTTGCAGAGTATCATGGATTACGC